CTGGGTTTAGTGCTCTAAATAAGTCTGTAAAGCCCTGATTTCTAAACCATTTATGGAGTGGCAAAAGCTTGTGTGCTAAGTGTCTATCGCCCCCTCTTTTATCTAGCACTGGGTCTATTACTCTATTAAAGTCACCCATTACTATAAAGTGTGCTTTGCTAGATCTCTCTATAAATTTAGTAACAATTGTTCTCTGGAGCGACTTTTCTAACTCCTTATCACTTGGTGGGAAATATACTACTATTACTATAATTTCAGTTTGTCTAAAGTAGAATCTAGCTTCAATTAAATATTCTTCTAGTCTTGTAATTTGTCCTAAATGCTTCTCCCAATTTGCATCAATAATCAACCTGACTCCTGACACTTTCTTTTTGGTGATCGTGCTTTGTGTCCAAAACCCTTTTTTCCCATTGCTCAATTCGCTAAATCTTAATTTTTTCTCATTTGTGTTTGTTTCAACTAACCCAAGTATATTAATTTCGTTCTCTGACATCCACTCATCTATTGCTTTAAGTTTTGTCTTATTCCCCTTGATCCCATTAATGTTGTGGCATGCTATATTTAACCTAATGTCTCTTTTCTGTGTTATAAGGCTTGACTTCAATTTCGCTCTTCCATTTTGAGGCTGAATCTTACTTGAACAACTTAGTGTTAAGCCGCCCCTTTCCTTTTTTACAACGCCTGTGGCAAACCTCAGGAGCGATTGGGGCCAATGGCCCCCTGCTGTCTTTCTTCAATCTTAGTAAGCCTTTTCATGATTTCTTCTAACATACCCCCAAGCTTTCCAACATCTACTTGATCATCAGAACCCATTGCATTTACCGTTGTCCTACTTGGATTATTACTCAAAACTTCATTACTTATCTCTTTGATGTTTTCCTTGTTCGCTCTTTTCCCTTCTTTGGTTACAGACTGAGTTTCCCTTGTGAGCTTCAGTTTGCGATCCTTAACTACTTCATTTGATTCACCCTTCTCGAGTCTGTTTGAGCCTAGGTTGAGTTTTCTAAGGTTTACTCTTTCATCTGACGAAGATCTCTCTTTCAGAACGTCGTGGTCTCTTCTCTCTCCAGGTCTCTTCCACTTTTTATCACTTTCGCCTAGCCATTCTAGCTTCGTGTTATAGTAGAAAGTGTCTCTTTTCTGAGCTAACTCTAGCTCTTCTCTTGATTCGAAATACACCGATGCTGTTCGTCTTTGGTTTCGATTGTTGTTATATGAAATATAAACTGCCTTTGCACCTACCCCTTTCAACTGTCTTAACAAAAGTACTTCTATTGCTGATGTTGGGACATTTTTAACTATGCCCTTGAATCTTGTTCTGCTCTTGAGTATTTCTTTCGTGAACGCACCAGGTGTTACTCTCAACATTTTTCCTTCTACAAAATGTACTGCCTATGCAGCTTGGAAAGCCGCCATACGTCTACTATTGTGGTATTTAATTGTAAATGAAACTGCCTTATTTTTCCCTTGTGGCTTCCATCTCAACATGTTAATCTTGCCATAGAAATGCAAGCATTTCCTTATTGCTTGTGACCGCACATACAATGGTATGTCCCATAGTGT